TAACTGGTTCGGTGGTGGAGCCTACATTTGTAGGCGAGGTCACTAAAATAGATCCTGGAGCTAGGCCACTAGGCCAGGTTGTAGTTAAGCCTAGACTTGGGCTAACTAGAGTAGGAAATTGGTTCGGATCCATTACTGTAGCGACATCCGGCTCGAGGGACCATGAAACGTAGTCGGTTTTATGTTCAGTTTCATCCATCTCACAATGGGTTTATTCTGTAGTTAAACATATAACAAGATAATAATTAACAAAGCCCACATCGATAAATCTATGAAACACATGAAATATTCGTAGGGCCATCCTAGGCCTATAAAGGTCAAAGGTCAACTCTCTACCAGCACTTGCGTCTCCCCTGTCTATTCACGTTTATGCATAGCATTACTTACGGTAATAGGTCTTAACTTTAACATGATAATTAACGGCTTAAGCCAAAGCTTAACTCTAACTAGGTCATTGCAAACTCCAAAGCATATAACACTGAATCAAAGAATCATAATATAACAATGAAATTATCTCTACATATCTGATTATGATGACTTTAACTTACTTCAATTTACGCATTGTGATCTGGTTACTAGGCGATCTACTACTTCGAACTTTCCATACCCAATTGAGGGCGCTACACAAGTTGCCCTATTTTACACCCACCAAGTGTTTTCCAGGAACAATCTGCCGTTTTCGAGTAACAACTGTCTAAATTAATTTACACCCCTCCAACCTAAAAGTTCCTCCCTTCTGAAATTTGATGGATTTTTTCTAATGGGGCTATTAAACGGGAACCCCGGTCCCATTTTAACTTCGATGGGGTAGGAGGTCACTGATTATAGCTGGCTACCAAGGCCCTATTAAGGAACAATTTGAATTGAATTTTTCGATAATTCGTTACCTTGAATTACATCCCAATAGTATGAAAATGAGTAAAATTATAAAAAGGTGGGGCTATTAAACCGAACTCCGGTCCACTCCTACTGGGGGGGGGGATGATTAAGGGATTTTCAGGAACAATCTTCCGGTTCGAGCAATGGTTACCTACATTTACACTCCACCAGTATAAAAAATGATTGAAAATTATAAAAAGTTGGGGTTATTATTAAACGGAACCTCCGGTCCCACTCTAACCTCGATGGGGAAATGAGGGAATACCATCCTATCCCTATAAATCCAAGGAACTTTTTGGAACAATCTGTCGTTTTCGAACAATATTGTTTCCCAACTACTCTTCTATTGTCCCTGCCTGCCTCCTCCCTTCCAAGATCTCCTTTCCCGCCATCCGCCAATACTATTAGTGTACCCCGATCCACCACCCACTCCCGCAATTTCTATTCCCCTAGTCGTGGCCATTAGATTGAAGAATTTGTTCTGTTTGAAAAAATATCGCTAATTTCGCCGCCGCACACACAGTGAAGTAATTAGTGAAATCTGCAGTCCAACACGATCGTATCTTATCTTGATTGTTGCTGGAATTTTGGGCTGGCTTGTTGTTGGCTGGCAGATTGTTGACTAGCCTTGATGTAGCTTTTAGATTGAAGACAGTACCTGGGACGTGATAGTTATTCCAAAAAATAACAGCCAGCCTTGCGGTACTGTACCTTTGATGGAAGGCCGCGGCATGACGTTCAGTTTTCCGTACAGTTTGATTTTTACGTTTTCTGTACAGTTCGGTTTGCACACCTTTACGGACGAGAAAGATGTACGCCTATTCAGTGGTGTTCGTTCGCCGTGCCGAGCATGTCCATACAGGACAGTTTTTGATCGTTTTGTAGGCCTGAACTCGGTTCGGGTGCATACAGACAGTCAAGTGACTGAAAAAATTAGTACAATATGCGTGTACGATGTTTGTTTCCTCTACAGTAGATTTTATGTCCGTTTCCTGTTGAAGTTTATTTCTGAAAATTTTTTATCAGATTAGTCCTGGCGACTAGTGTGCATTTTCGATAATATTTTTCTAAGCATAAACAACATATTTTTCGTCATTACTATGTCAATTTACTGAAATTATTTTTGGTACTTTTAAAATCCTGGTCGTACGGTATGTATCTGTATGTACGTTACTAGTATGTTACGCAGTTTTTTTTGTAAACAGGCAAACGTGACTTTCCAGACATCTGTTTGTTTTGTGCGTCCGTTCCCAAGCTAATCTGGATCTTTTGTTGTGTCCTATTTCATAGTTTTCTATTTTGACAAATATTAAAGCTATGCTAATGAGAGAGTTTCCCCCTTACTCTTGAAAACTGTAGGATAAGAGGATAACATTTATGGAATGTTGTGTACTCTCGTTGTCCAAACTAACTGTCTTAAATGTGATGGATCGGACTCCAGGGACTTCCCTGGCTGGTATGGATATAAAACATTATTTGCACTCCAAAAACCTCAATTTTATACTCCTGCGACGCCCACCTCCTTATATCACAAAAAACCGCTCCGGGTTAGCCTATTTATACTCATGTTGCCCGGTTGTCTAGTGAAAAATTAGCAAGAAAAAACATTTTCTTAAATTAAAAAAAAAAAAAAACCGGAATTTTTTAGACGATCCCTGTCAGAGAAGGTATAGCAGCCCAAAAGTACCCTGTAGCTAGTTTTCAGCTCTCCATTTGCAGTGAGTGTTGAATAATTAAGATGATCCCCTAGACATTCACCAACATAAAAAGGTGGCATGTAACGTTATCTCTCTGAACAGATGATAGTTTGATCGTTCAATCTGGTAGGACATTTTAATTCAATATACTTTAATTCAACTTTTATATTTAATAATTAAATACAGGTGATCTTCAGTGCTGTATGTAGGCTAGCCTAAGCCCTAGGCGGGGCGCTAGGGTCTCATCTAGGCTAGGCTAGGCCAACCCTAGCCTAAATAAAGCACAATTTATTGCCATTGGGGTGAGTGACTTGAGACCTATACATTCAACAGCTGATTGGCTTAGTTGATTTCTGGGTCCTTTGTTAAATATTAGAATGGGGATTAGAGGTAAGGGGCGTACGCCCTTCCCCTATTTTTTTGCAAAAGAATTACACCCACAGTGTTTAACAAAAGTGTGTGCTCCAATATACACCAAATTCCAGAAAACATCATTGTACCATCACACATTACATCTCTGGAGAAAAGTTTGCATACATCAATCATCATCAGTCTACATCCAATAATTAATATTAATTATTATTATTATTATTATTATTATTATTATTATTATTAATAAATATTACAAATTAACAAGTTCACTTAAATATTTACAATAGCCAACACAATAACTGCCTCACATACTGTTACATACGTATGTACTGTAACTCTACTTATTATTAGCTAACAATATAAACTATAGCCCTGGCACAGGTCTGGTTTAAAATGTTCATACGGTAAAGTCTTGTATTTGTCATAATGGAATTTGTGTTGATTTTATACTCAAAAACCTGAATATTTGTATCTTTACAACACTTGAAGTGTAAAGTATAGATATAATTCCATTCAGTTTCAAGTAGGCCTATGTTGAATTCACTACTATATTGTAATTGGGCGTAGGAGGTTCAATAAATTAATATTTGATAAATTGCTTTTGTTGTCATTCTATTCCTCCTCAAACATTTGGAGACACTTTCTTTACAATCCTTTCTATTAAAAACCTGACTCAATGTCTTCCTCCAGGTGGGTGGAATTGCAGCAATGACACTTCTCCATTTTAAAAAACAAGTCTTTGGTATGCCGCTGGCCAGCCAAAAGTTAAAGGAAAAAATGTCCCCATTATCATTAAAAAGATCACTTACCAATTCCATCCCCTAGCCCTAGCAGCAGTGAGGAGGACAATGGCGAAGACGATCCACTTGGGCCTAGAGCACAACGAATGGTGGACAGATTCAAATGGAAGGATCGTGCTTATGACGATGCTTGGTTAGGTAAATTTATACATTTACTTTATACGAATGCTTATTTGGAGCTAGTATTACTGTTTTCTATTCTTCAAACATGTTATTTTTATTACTATAATTTATTTTTTCAATCGCTTTTTTTTCTTTGGATAGGCCTAGGCCTAGTCCTGGAAATCTTTGGGCCTAGACTAGTTAGATTTTTTAGATAGGTGTAGAGCTTATTTATACCTCTTTCATTTTTTTTTATTTAAAAAAAATAATTTTGATTATTTTTTTCTTTTTTCTAATTTTTTAATTATATTTCTATTGGTTTTAGTCTATTTTGAAATATTTAATGAATAAAAAGTATAGCCGCGTTAGTCTGTACAGCAGTAAATAACAGCAACACTTTTGAGACTAACAATATATAATTTATTCTCTAGCTTTCGTCCACTGTGTATTTACTTGAAATATTTAGTATCGTTATCATAAATTAGACCTTTGCTGTTTTATTATTTCATTTTTTATTATATTTTCCATTCTGATTATTTGTTGCATAGGGAGTCTTTGTTTTATTGTATCTGCTTTAGGCCATTTGAATTAATCATTATCATAATTATATTTAGGTGAATTCACTGAACGTTGTGGACCTTTGGTACATGACGAGAATTCATCTATATTCAACATCTTCCACCATTTTATTGACGATCAGTTGTTGCAGCTCATAGTGGTTGAGACCAACCGGTACGCGGAGAGGATTATTGCTCAAAATGCAGGTAGGTTAGGTGTAATGAAAGACTGGCGGAACACGGACATAAACGAGGTACGTGCTTTCATTTCTATTCTTCTAGATTTAGGTCTTGATAGGCGAGGTAGTTATGAGTTGCACTGGTCTAAGCAATGGCTTTTGAATAAGCCTGGATTTCGCTCGATTATGTCGAGGAATCGTTTCAACTTGCTTCTTCGATGTGTGCATCTTGTTGACAACGACGTTGCTCCTGCCCGAGAGTAAGTATAACAGTAAGTATAAGATAAATAGTTAGTTTGAATATGTTTTCGTTTGTATACTATTCTTATGTGAATTGCAATACTTGTGTTTCTATGCTTTTTGGTCTGAAGGGGCGCATAACATATGCCACATGTTCCTCACTATGAGCATCAACCTTGACGTGGTTGTGGGGCTTGTGTGTCTCTAATCAGCTGGAGGCCAGACTAATGATGATCAAAACTTTATCATATATCATTGTATATGTATTATTTCAACACATCTATCATAATAAATACACAAATAAATGTTTTCTCTAGACTAACTGACAAAAAAACGAACAAAAAATTGTTTCATTTTTACTACTTTTTCTTCACAGTTTTCATATATAGAAAAAAAATTTATAAAAATATGATCTATATACCAAAAGATAGAAAATTTAATAAATAATAGATATAAAAATGTCTACTCTAAACTGTCCAACAAAATCTGAACAAAAAATTGTTTCATATTTTACTACATATTTATTCGCAGTTGACATACACTAAAATATATCATAAAAATATCATTTATATACCAAAAGATAGCAAATTAAATAAGGAACATTTGTTTTTCGAAACATTTTTCTCTAAACTGAACAGAAAGTGGCAAAAAACTCAGTTGAAGTGAGCAATCTCTAAAAACGTCAAAAAAATTGCAGTTCTGAAAATTAATCCGGTTGTGAAACTATAGTATTATTAGGAAATTCGGTAGGCTAAGGGTTAAGTAGTGAAACATAATAAGGGCAGGATTTACCATTAGGCATAATGTTGAAATTATTTCAAATACATTGTCAGGTAAAGTTAACCTCATAGAGTTTAGTGAAATCAAAGTATGACACAAACACGTATTAATATAGAATTGAGGAACATTCTTCAATGCAAACACATATTCTCCCTTCAAATTACATTAAAAAAATTAACTTCAATAAAATTTGATAGGTAATGCCCAGAATAGTTCCTCATCTAACGTACATGTTGTACTATCCGCATATTGTATGAATTTTGATTTCTTTATCATTCACTGAAAAACCTCTGATACTTGCGTCCCCCCAAAGTTTACAAAATAGTTTTTTTTTTACCTTCTACAGAATAAAAAAATATCAATTATTCAAAATACACTTAAAACAAACCACATCAATTTACATTCTTTTAAACCTAAATTTTACAATTACCCCTTTTTTCATTTTTATACCAGTTAATAATTAAATATTTAACCCCAGGACAATTCAGATAAAATCAACCATTTTACTCCATTTAACAGTAAACTTATTATAGTATTCTCTCCATGGCAAAATTTCTTTCAACTTTTTGAAGTATCGAAAGCTAGCTAAATACATTTCCAAAATGACTAGTGAGATCAAAGTAGGATACAAACATATCTTTATAAAATTGTGGAACATTCTTCCATGCAAACACTTGTTCTTCTTTCATTAAATATTATACTTCCACCATATGGGGCCAAAAAAATCATTTAAAAGACATTTCCAAGCAGCATTACTATTCTGAGAGCGTTTGGTCTATTGAATTTTTCAACTTTGAACATAATAAGATTTGATATCGACCATTTTCAGTCCTCCATGCTCTATGTTGGCAATAAGCACTTTTCTTTTAATAAAACCCTTGCTTCTTTTCCACAAAAAAATGTAAACAATTTTCTTAATCCGATTAATAATGTTACAGTAATTGGAATGTGAATGACAGAAGCCAAATAAATAAATTGAGAGCCCAAAAGTTTTAATTAGAATTTTTCCTCAAAGTCAAATTTCTAGTTTTCCAAATGTTAAATATAATATTTAATTGTTTAGGTTCAATTTTTTTTTTCTACAGCTACACAGCTATTATAAAAAAAATTGAAATAAAGCTTTAATTGGTTGGTTTGATGTGGGCCATTTTACGCCAAATAGTTTTTTTTTTACAAAATCTATCTGACCCCAACAACATTGCGTGTGACTTGCATTCAATTTCAAGCCCGAAGCACTACCAAATATAGCCAATAAATTAATTAAGTTATGCACAGATTGTTCATCTTCTAACGTACATGTTGTATCATCTGCATATTGTATAATTTTGATTTCTTTGTCCTTCACTGAAATACCCGGATTTTACAAGATAAAAGTTCAATTGCTAAAATAAAAAGATATGGATTTAAAGGATCACCTTGTGTAACCCCCCCCTACCCACAGAGAAGTATTTTAAACTTGTGCCATTATTTATAATACAACTGGTAATATTTGTGTACAAAGCTTTAACATAATTTATAAATGGTTTACCAAAATTCATACATTTTGAAGTATTAATCAAAAAGTTACATTCCAACGAATCGAAAGCTTTTTCGAAGTCCAAAAATAACATAGTTCCTGGCTTGTTAAAGAATTTTGTGTAATCAATTATATATGATTTGCTACGAATTGCTTTCCAATGTACTGTTCCTTTTTTGAACAAATCCACTTTGATCATTATGAACCAGATTTGTTATAAAATTGCAGACTCTAGTGGCCAACACTTTCGAAGCAATTTTATAGTCGACGTTTAACAGGGTGATGGGCCTCCAAATATCTTAAGTTTGTTCGGTCCTTTCCATTTTTTCCCTTTGGTCCGAAGGTCCGTTGGTCTAAAGGACCTTTGCTCCGAAGGTCCGTTGGTCCAAAGTAATTAATTCAAATATAGACAAAACTATATTTAAAGAAAACACATGTTCGGGACCACCATGTAGGTGTCAATTATTGCTAGCATGATTTGTCAGCTCAGTTTATGTATATTTTTAACAAATTATTAGAAATTGAAAAAATTCCAAGCGAATGGAGCGTAAGTATAACTTCCAAATGTTTAAGCAGGACACAGAAAAGATATTAATAACAATAGGGGAATTCAAGTAACTTCCATCCAGTGTTTGGAAAATCTAAACAGATTTATTTACTTATGGCCGATGGGAAACAGTTAACTACTTTCGCACGTTTATAAAGTAGACACATTGACAGTGGCGGCGAAAGCATCTGGGGGGGGGGGGGGGGGGGGGGGGGGGGGGGGGGGGCAAGTTTCCTGACGAGAGCAAAGTGAGCGTAGTCGGGTGTCAATTAAAATGTTTCGAAAGTGGTCCATGGGACGGATCATTGGAAATGTGACAATTTAGGAGTTTCAGGGGGTTATTCAATCGATTCTAAATAGATAGTCTACATGATATATATTTTTTTTCTCCCCGACGAATTTTGTTTTTTCTACTCTTCTGGGGATGGGGGGAAAACTGGAGTTTTAATTCATAATACTACTGGTAATAGTTCAACTGAAATTCTCACTGGGAACATCTCCCTATCCACGATCGAGAGAGCAATTTTACTGATGTGAGTTAGCCAGATTTTCGTACATTTCACAAAATAAAGGAAATATATATATTTTTTAAATGATGAGGCAGCCAAAATGGATGCGGAGGTGACAAGAAACTAGTATTTTTTTTACTTGGCCTTATATGTTGTTGGAGAAAAAAAAATAATATAAAATAAAGTGATCTTTCTTAATTTACTTCATAAATTGTTTTCTTTTGGTGTTGTTTTCTTTTGTTTTGTTTTTTTATTTTTTTTAATTTTAAATACATTCCTAGAAAAGGTCACTAATTCGGACCAACGGGCCTTCGGACCAATGGACTTCGGACTAAAGACCCTTCGGACCAACGGGCATTCGGACCAAAGACCCTTCAGACCAAAGGTAGGCACCCCTCGAAATCTTACCCATAGGGCTACCGTGTGCACGCTCAATTTCAATTACCGTCTCTATCTCCATTTCCACTTTAATAAAATCACTAATAAAATGTTTACAGTTTTCCCCTTCACGTTCTTCAGACACTCCCCACACAACAATATTATTTATTATTTGAAGCACACATTCTTTGATTTTCTTTCATTGCGTCTAAAGATTCATGTACCTTATGCAGACTGTCTTCTACCTCATAAACTCGGTTTTTCTTGAAATTTAATCCTGTTTCTACATTATCCAGGTATCTTAAAACAGCCCGTAACAGCTCCGTCACATTATCTATTTTTTTTTGTTCATTTGGTCGCTCACGTGCACCTCGCCGTCTCCACGGGCATCGCCCTCTTGAATGCATTTTCTTCCTGCTCCACATCGACTGGCTTAGACTTGGCTTCTATATTTCTTTTTACTTCTTGGTGCCACCTTCCCCCTATTTGTCACCCATTACCATTAATTATGTGATCTGAAGTGTAATGTACTCAATGATTCCCGAAACATTCTTTAAAAAGGCTCACTTTCTGGCACAAAATCGGGAGCTCCAAACTACAGGTAGGTCGCCTTCAGTGTCATGCGCAGTATCTGCTTATTTTTCATAATTTGCAAAACATTTTTTTTTTGAAAACACATCTGATGTGCTTTGACACAATATAATTTGCACGTTTAATGTTTGTTTTGCGTCGATGCTCATGATCCATAGACTGCTGAGTGTAATTGTCGAAATCTAAATTATCTGCTTGAAAAAAATTCTTAAAAAAAAATTATAATTACTGTATGATCTACATATATCAACCCTCCATCAATAACATCATACACATGGTTGAACTGTTGTTTGCTCAACATTTGCTGACTCAGATATATATTTAAGGTATTTTGTTGCAATAGATGCTTTCGTAAGAATTCATAATTACCATAGAAGAATACTGGCCCGGAGAGGTGTCAATTTATATTGCGATATTTTAAGTAGGGACAAATCACCACGCTCTCCCAGAAGAACAAGTCTGGTAAACAGTTGTGTTGTTTCGTTCCTCCTACTTTCTCACACGTTTGCAGACATGACAAAGGTTTAAGGTTTCTGGTACTGGTACGGGAATTTATAATGCGCTTCTTCTCCCTTGCGGATATAAAGCGCAGTTCAATAATTCCCTGGTCATTGGGTCCACATGCTAAGTGTTGCTGCTGGTAATCAGCGCAGGAGCTGGCAACCCCACCAGGTTCCCAATATACTCCTGGATGAAGAGAAGCAATGCAGATAAAGTGTCTTGCTCAAGGATTGCAACCCTGACCTCAAGGTTAGGAAACTAAACCGTTTCCAATGTGCCAAACCGCTTCCACAAGTCTTGTCGACATATTGTGATTAAAAGGTACAGCATCTAGGCGTACTTGTTTCTGGATGCCAGTGGTGACACCAATGATGTGGCTGTTGTCACAATTTTATTTCCTAAATTGGTGGATTAACTGTAGTAAACAATGAACTGATAAATTTAGTGTTCTGTACTTCTTTAAAACCAAGTGAGATCTTGATCAAACGTTGTGTCGCCTGCCATTGCACTTTCTGAACATTGTGTTAGATACATACAGCTAGTTTCTACATATATAAAATGCCCGCAAACTGCAAACTATGGTAGCATTTCTCCAACAGCTTTAATATGCAATTTGCAGTTGCTTTCCCTCCCCGCCCAGATTAAGTTTCTTTCAGTTATAAAACTCGACCCATAGTTTTGCAGTCCTGGATTTCTTAAATAATTTTTCTTAGCTAATTCTTTTAGTTTGTTTCGGTTAAGTAAAAGTTGATGTGTGCATATTATCTAACCTCATCTAACGTTGTTAGCAATTTAGCAAGTATGGTTTGTAAAACTTTGAGGTATTTGTTAATTAAAGCCTCAGTTGCACTTCACGACCTACTTTAACCCTTTGAAGTCCCAAGGGGTCTATTCTAGGTAACTTGGGCCCCTTTAAGGGGTTTTAATAGGTTTCTGAACACGGCGGTTTCAATATAGACAATAAGTAGTGAGCCCTCTGTTGGTCACTATTATACATTTTAGATATTCTCGTAGTTGGGGGCGCTAACGCGGAAGCGATATTTTCATTATTCTCCATATATGGGTTTTTAAATGACCAACCAACAGCTTTAAAATTTAAAAAATAATGAATATTCATGATATTATCGAAGAAGACATGCTAAACAGTTCTGTAGTATAACATAGGTACGATGTCATGGCTCCTGATTTTACGTGTGAGTATTTGAATTTATTCCATGTTTTTCACCCAAAACTTAAGAAAATCTGGCATGTAATGTTTACATGGCTATAAATAATTTTTGCAATTTTTTGGAACATTGCCACTTACTCCATGTTATTACTATTTGACTTCTGCATTATCCTCTAAAAAATCTCTCAGACAACTGTTCCGGTAAACATTTTATTTAAGTTTAAAAATGACCGTGTCTGGCCTTTAAAATACACGTGTTTACCCTAGGCAGGTCTAGCATGTCTACCTTTTAGACGTTTATGGCGTAATAAATAACACAGACAAGATAACTAATATGTTTTAAAATATAATTCAAATGTTTCTAGCAGTCTTCCATAGGCAAAACTAGGTCTAGGCTCACTAAAAATCCTACGCTACGAGAGGGTAAGCTGCCGCCTGGGCTTAGGTGAAAGTAAACAATGTTTGGCCCGGCGGTGGGTATTTAAATTTTAAGTATACGCGGTATGCTCTCACGTGAAAGTAGGCCTACGCTAGGCCTAGTCTATTCGCTATAGACATATTTTTAGGATTATTCAGACCTTAAGTTTTATAAAAACATTTATCTTGCAATTTTAAAATGTCTAAAAATATTTATTATTATTATTATTATTATTATTATTATTATTATTATTATTATTATTATTATTATTATTTTATTATTATTATTATTATTATTATTGTACTTTGAAATTTCTTTTTTAGTGTCTGAAGTTAGGTGGTATTATTAATGTCTGATGTTCTGTCATAATTTTTTAATGAAAAAAACATGGCAATAATAACTTTTTATTTTTAATTTTATCACAAGATACAAGCGAGCTGACAAAATACATCACGGAGATAATCAATTTGTACATAAAGAAAAGAGCAGATGGTGTTCATGGAGAGCAGCAGAAAAAAATTATACTAGGACAGATATTAAGGTATTTTTAATAATAAAAATTATTCTATTTCTGTACAATGTTTTTTTTTTTTTTTTTAATTATGTATCATCACAATAATGTTTTATAAATCACATCGCATGTTCTTAAATACAGTATATCAAATGTTGTATTTTCATTGATATCCGTTTTGGTTATGTTTTTGGGAAACCTTTACTATTAGCAAGCGCCAGTCTTCCTAAGCATTACCTTGGTTGTCCATTTTTAAATGTTGCCCCTTTTTTCAATGTATGGCGTTTATTTTTTTATTTTTATGTTTTGGAATGTTACTGTACTTGTATTCCCAAACTATTATGAAATAATAATAATAATAATAATAATAATAATAATAATAATTTATAACTTGGTTATGTTTTGGGAAACCTTTACTATTAGCAAGCGCCAGTCTTCCTAAGCATTACCTTGGTTGTCCATTTTTAAATGTTGCCCCTTTTTTTCAATGTATGGCGTTTATTTTTTTATTTTTATGTTTTTGAATGTTACTGTACTTGTATTCCCAAACTATTATGAAATAATAATAATAATAATAATAATAATAATAATAATAATAATAATAATAATAATAATAATAATAATAATAATAATAAAACTGTTATGCCATTTGTACCACATCGAAACCAAAGGAAAAGTGAGCGCACAATATAATTAACACTTAATTTTTTTAAACTTTCCATTGCCTAGAATGAATTATATTGTTATGTATTGCCTAATTAAAATATATTTATATTTATCTTTTCAGCTTCTTTAATTGTTACGACGCAGGATGAAAATCAGATACTATGGTGAGATATGTTTACATCTATCCGGTTTTAATCGATATGCAAGCTATATGGAATCAGGTGGACTTGTCATTTTGTCTCTGCATCCCTGCTGTTACATACAGTTTTGTTTAGCATTCTTGTTTGTATTTTTGAAGAGACCTGGGACTTTCAGATGATGCAAAATTTATATTTTCTCTGAATCAACTTACTATTGAGAACAGATTGTTCAAAACCCCATACCCTTTTGTGAAAATAAATTTACACACTAATTACTGCACATATTAACACAAAGCGCAATAACATATTTTGTTGTGCAGTACTATAATATAGTGTGAATATATTGAATTTTATACTTATAAAGTGCAATAGCAATTTGTACAAAAATAACTGTCAGTATTTACCTGATTGCATACCTTTAATTTGGATTCCTGATGATGACATAATTAATATCAAAGTATTGAATCCATAAACTTTGAGTATGTATTATTCTATCTGTATCTGAGATTAATCAGTGGACCTTTCGGTTTAATTTGGATTCTTGTATTTTTTAAAGGTTTATTTTGTTCATTAAAAATATAACATGTAGAACATAATGTTTGTGTCTATTTGTAAACTGAGGTGTAAGAAGAATGATGATTGTAAATGATACTGGCTATTTTCACAGATGAATATTGGATCATTGTTTAAATTTATTTAAATTTTAAATTTTCTTTATTTTAGAGCCATCCTAATTATTGCCAACAAAATATAAAATGTTATTCAATTGTGGTGTTCTTACTGTTGTCCTGTGTGACAATACCGACGTTGAGGGCAGGAGTTGCCACGGAGAGAGAACCACGAGGAAAGGATTAAATTCTGTTCTATGAGTTATACTGTTGATATTGTCTTTATTGCTAGTTTACAAGGACTATCATATCATATCATATCATATCATTTATTTTTCCAGTATACACAAAAACATTACAAACAAGAAGCACAACCGTGACTGCCTGGTTGGATTGCCCAACAATGACAAGCACACAAATCGAGGCACCCGTGCAGTTTCTGCCTACGCCGGGAGACCCTGTCATACCGTGGTTGCAGTGGAGGCGATTATTCGAGAATTACCTACTCGCTTCGAATACAGTGAAGGAGTCGCCGGAGCGTAGAAGCGCTATACTTTTACACTCGCTAGGTCCGGAAGGCCAACGAATTTTTTACACGTTACCAGAACTAGGAGAAGCAGGTGACGATATACTTACAAAGGCAATGACAACATTGCAGAGTCATTTTGCACCAAAAGTTAGTGTGGTGGCTGAGAGATATAGATTTCGTCAGCGTGCACAGCTCCCGCACGAATCAGTCGACAATTACATTGCAGCGCTCCGCGAACTGGCTTCACGATGCGAATTTGGTACGTTTGAGAACGAAATGCTACGAGATCAACTTGTAGAGAAGACTAATAGTTCCAAAATACGAACTAGATTACTTACAGAAACCGATGTCAAGCTGGACAAGGCCATTAAACTAGCAAGGCAGTGTGAAACTGCGATGAAAGAGGCCAAGTCTATGAGCGGAGGTGATACTCATACATGCTCTGAGGTGAAATACAAAGCTAAGCCTAGAGGTGCTAAGGCTGAATTTAAGAAGGAGAAACAGAGGCCCAGGCCAAATAGCAATGCCAAGTGTTATCGCTGTGGTTCACCTCAACATTTAGCAAATTCGCCAGAATGTACTGCAGGGTCAAAGGACTGCAACTCTTGTGGAAAAAAGGGACATCTGTCTAGTGTTTGCCGTGGTAAAAGGAAAGTTGTTAAGCAGGTTGAACAAGCGGACGCTAGAGGTGAGACTGATCAAGATGGCGACATGATTGAAGTATTGTGTACACGGTCAAGCAACACTGATTCAAGGAAAAGTGTATGGGGAACTCTTAAAGTAAACTCTATAAATATTCAAATGCTTGTTGATACAGCATCTGATGTATCCTTACTTTCACTTAAATTATTTGATAAATATTTTGTTAGAGATGCATTGAAACCATGTATAATGCCTATAACTAGCTATACATCTCATAAGATAACAACTGTAGGATGTTTTAAAGCTAAAGTTCAGTTTAAATCTAAATGTGCAAATGCAACATTTTATGTAGTAACTAAAGGAAGTAGCCTAATAGGCAAGGATCTAATCCAAGCACTTGGAATTAACATTGATGGTAGTACGTTGACATGTTTTGAGACACATGCTGAGTCTACATGTACTGATGTTAACTCACAATTTTCATGTTTGTTTTCAGATACCTTGGGTAAGGTTAAGGGGTTCAAACATAAGGTTAAAGTTCGCCCAGAGGTTAAGCCAGTCCAACAAAAGCTGCGTAGACTGCCATTGACTGTGCGTCAAGCCGTGTCCGCTGAATTACAACGTCTTCTAGATGCAGGGATTATTGAACGCGCTGAAGCGCCAGAGTGGGTTTCACCAATTGTAGTTGCATGGAAAAAGACTGGAAAAATTCGCATATTTGTTGATTTAAGAAAACCCAATGAAGCTGTTATTGAGGACAAATTTCCTCTTCCTTCAATTGAAGAAATGTTAAGCGAGATGAATGGCGCGACATACTTTTCTAAGCTCGATCTTAAATCAGCTTATTACCAACTGGAATTAGATTCCGACAGTCGCGACCTTACATCATTTATTACGCATGATGATGTTTTCCGATTTCGTACAGTTTGTTTTGGTTTATCTTCAGCCCCTTCATGTTTCCAAAAAATGATGTCGACTGTATTAGCAGGAATTCCAAACGTACAATGTTTTATCGATGATATTATTATTTACGGACGCGACAAAGCCGCGCATGATAAAACATTATTTTCAGTGCTTACCCGTTTGAAAGAACGTGGTATGACGCTAAATGACAAATGTGAGTTCGGGGTACCTTCAATGAAAGTATTAGGTCATGTTATCGATGACAAAGGTATTCACCCTAGTGACGAATTAGTCCATGGAATTGCTAAAGCTGCAATACCCCAGACTAATCTCCAACTTAAGTCATTTCTAGGACTCGCAGGTTTTTATGCTAGGTTTGTGCCAAATTTTTCAGCAAAAGTAAGCGCATTGCGAGAGGTACAATCCATTGAACCATTTATATGGACAGAAAAAGCAAATTCCGCGTTTCAGGATATTAAATCCGATATTATTAATAGCCCTGGTCTTGCTC